TACTAGGAACAAGAAGCTACTAGGAGCAAGAGCATCGCTACTAGGAGCAAGGACGCTACTAGGGGCTCCTGCTAGGAACAAGAAGCTACAAGGAACCAAATCAATCCTACGAGGGGTTCTTCAAATAAGCTTCCTCCTGCCCTCAGGCGGGGAGAACCCTTTTAAAGAAGCCTGAGCTCTTCTGCATCCCTGTCTAGCAGCGCCTACTTCTGGTCGCTACCTAGCTAGCCCTTCCTACTAGACATAGCTACTTTCCTACGTACTTGTTAGCTACCTCCCCTCTCACTCCGGCCTCACCCCTAAAGAAAAAGATCAGGAACCAAGAGTCGCATACAGCTCCTGCAAGTCATCCCACTGGTGAATGGGGAAAAAGAGCCTGGTGACTTCAGCCTCGCGAGAGTTTGGATAAGAACAAGCATGCATATGCCATGTATGCAATGGAAACGTGCTGGGCAAAGGTGGCTGTAATCAGAATGAAAGTGCTACAAAATGAAACGAACTGCAAGAACCATTACTCAATCATGCTTGCGTTAGACCTGACTTGACGATATCAGTGTGGTTTCCCCGCTTTCAAGTGAACGTTCAAGGGCATTACGCCGCGGCACATTGGGGAAATGTTAGTGGTGTTGCTTTTGTCGGTGCTTTTGGGAGTCTTCACGCCAAGCTGGACCCAGTAGAGGTGAGCTGACCGTCATGTGGAACTGTTTGTTAGTCTTTGTGACTGACACTGTATAGATTCTACCCGCTGCTGAGAAAAGATCGAAGCCCAAGACCAAAATAAAAAAGAGGAAAAAAGTGGAACCCACGAACCGGAATGCAAACACGCAATCGAAAACAAACAGCCAACCATTGGCTGACACTCTGGCAAGACACTCCTGTAGGACGCTCTTGTTGGACACTCTTGTAGGAGACACTCTTGTAGAACATTTTTGTGGGACACTCTCACGTGAGACTCTTATGGGACACTCTCCTGCGATGCTTTTGCGGAATGGAGAAAACATTGTTAGCAAGGAGAACCTAGCAGCAATGGCCTCAAAACCTGCTAGCGATGGCCAACACTTCCTAGCAATGGCGTCCAGCCTACTAGCGACGGCGTCCAACCTAAAAGCGATGCCCAAGAGCGATGGCCTGGAACCTAATAGCGATGGCCTCCAACCCAATAGCGATGGCCTCCAACACAATAGGGATGGCCTCCAACCTGACCTACTAGCGATGGCCTCGAACCTACTAGCAATGGCCTTCAGCCTAATAGCGATGGGCTCCAACCTGCCAGCGATGGCCTCCAATCTACTAGATATGATATGGCTTCCAACTTACTAGCCATGGCCTCCAACCTACTAGCAATGGCCTCCAACCTACTAGCGATGGCCACCAACCTACTAGCTATGGCCTCCAACCTACTAGCCATGGCTTTTCCTTGCATAAAGGCCCCTCCCTGGCACAGGTGGCGGGAGAGGGGCTGAGTGTCAGAGTCTGAAGACAGCCTAAGTGAAAAGTAAAAAGCGTGAAGGAGATGTCAGGGAGGAGCTCCAAGTAGACGACATTCAAGAAGTGTCGAGGGTGGATCGCATCTGACGGGCAATCCTTGAACCCTCCTTGAGCTTCTTTTGAAGTTTGTTCCATGAACCAGCTGGTGGCTGCCATTGAAACGGACAGGACACAGTCTGCAGTGACAGATCGATGGGAGGCCACCAGTTGTAAGCACAAGTTCGAAAGTTCTTTTGAAATGCCATGGCCTCCCACCTAATAGTGATGGCCTCCAACCCAATCGCGATGGCCTCCATCCAAATAGCGATGGCCTCGAACCTAATAGATGGCCTCCTCCAACCTCCTCCAACCTACTAGCCATGGCCTCCAACCTACTAGCGATGATTGCCTCCTCCAACCTACCAGCGATGGCCTCCAACCTACTAGCCATGGCCTCCAACCTACTATCATGGCCTCAACAACCTAGTAGCGATTTCCTCCAAACCTAATAGCGAGGCCTCCAACATACTGCCTCCCCCAACCTAATAGCCATCGAATCCTCCAACCAACCTACTAGCGATGGCCTCCAACCTAGTAGCCATGGCCTCCAACCTACTAGCGATGGCCTCCTACCTACTAGCCATGGCCTCCAACCCAATAGCGATGGCCTCCAACCCACTAGCGATGGCCTTTAACCTAAAAGCGATGCCCTCCTCCAACCTACTGGCCATGACCTCCTCCAACTAGCGATGGCCTCCGAACTAGCCATGGCCTCCAACCTACTAGCGATGGCCTCCAACCTACTAGCCATTACCTCCAACCTAATAGCGATCGCCTCCAACCTACTATCATGGCCTCCAACCTACTAGCCATGGCCGATGGCCTCCTCCAACCTACTAGCCATGGCCTCCTCCGACCTACTAGCCATGGCCTCCAACCTACTAGCGGTGGCCTCCAACCTA